CCCTCTCCCTCTCCCATGTGCCTTTTTATCTATCTATCTATCTATCTATCTATCTATCTATCTATCTATCTATCTATCTATCTATCTATCTATCATCTACCTACCTACCTACCTACCTACCTACCTACCTACCTACCTACCTACCTACCTACCTACCTACCTACCTACCTACCAGTGTTGGGTTCCGGATCCTGTTGCAACTGGTACAGTTGCAACGTGGCCCGGCGTCCTCCACATCAATGCATGTGGCGCACGGATGCATCTTACCATCTAGCGATGCCTCCGTGACGCTTCAGCTGCTCAGCGGAGCGTCACGCAGGCACTGTACACACAATGCGTGTGCGTGGAAGCGCCAAAGGGTTTAAAGACAGGTAAGGAAAGCGGGTGGGCCAGCCCTCCGGAGCACCAGAACGGAACAGTACCCAGTGCTCCAGGCAGGCTCTGATACACCTGTACCGGGGCATACTGCCTGCAACCCACCACCGCTACCTACCTACGTAATCTATCTAATTTATATAGCTACCCAATACAAAGTGCTCCAGGTGGCATACAATATTAAAAATCCAAAGTTCAAAATTCACAATTTAAACTCTTCTACCTCCTACTTTGGCATCAGGAAATTTTTTAGATTCTATATATAAAAAAAGAGAGAGAAACACTGCATTCAACCCACCCACTTCAGAGTTATAGATTAAAGACTGAGAAGCCCCCCTATTCAAATTTTCAGAGTTATGAAGCTTAATGACTGGCCATGGTCCATTTAGTATATCAGCCTATTTCATGAGTTTGTTGTGAGAATAAGTTAGAAGCAGTGAGTTCTTTTACACAAATGCTATGGAAAAACAGTCTAAGACCTATTTATTTTCTCCATTCTGTATTTCTTTTAAATATAAAGGTTAAGTGTGTAGAAAAAGGAGCTTTGAAATCCTTGCTTTGGAGAAAAAAAGGAATACTTATAAGACCTTTCACCTCATACTTTTATCTAAAGAAAATGTTTTCATAGTACATTATAAACCCTAAAAAATAAAAAGGATCTATAGTACAAAGGTTGACAGTCCTTTAACTACAATGTGGATGACAATAATTAAACCACAATTTTGGCTACCTATCACTTCGTAAAATGAAAAATAAAAGGAAGGAAACCTTGCGATTTCTACGATCATTTCAAGTAGAATGTGATTACCAAAAGTCTATATGATATGTTAAAGGGGATTGGTGCAACTATTTGACATTCTAAGCTTTAAATACCAAGGCATTTAGTTAACACAGCGAAGTCAGTATTTTCATAATGCTACTTAATCAGCAATAAAGGAATGCTCCTGTGAGCCATCATCTTGGGTTAGCAGAAAAGTGGCATATGAAGTTATTATTAACTAACTGCCTATAGGGAGCTGCTTCTGTCTTTAATCAATGATCTCACTTCCTATCTACTTGCAAATTCTGACAGCCATAGAACATTACACTCAATGCGGTTGCCAGAGATATTGCATTTATGCAAGGAGTTGATATCTTATTCCCATCTGGATCTTGAAGTAGAAAGGATTGTTACAGTGAGACATTTTTCCCTTTGCCAAATCAAGAAAAACAAACCAAGAATGCAAATGATTAATCTGGTCAAAGATATTGCTCTGTAATCCAATTTTCCCCATGTGCAGGTGCATACACGCACGCATACACAAAGTAAAGTGCAATTCTTCTATCGAAAGAAAGAAAGAAAGAAAGAAAGAAAGAAAGAAAGAAAGAAAGAATAAGATATGCCATTCAACTCTAGAGCCAGGAGAGAATGATCATGACAAGGGACTGATGTCAACACTCTGGCCAGATCACTTTGGATAGTGAGATGAGTGTCATACAAATTTAACTAATAAAAATAAATTCAACCCGAGATTACACTGCTGCTAATCAGCACAAAACACAGATTTAGCACGTAGCCTCTGCTGTGAATTGGCCTCAATAAGCTGGATCAGGTCCATCATAGCTATGGCAGCCCTGGACCTTTGAGGTGCTTCTGACTGAGCTCAGAAACAGCAGGTTAAAATCTCCCAAAACCATCAGTCTAGGGAACTCTACTGTCAACTTGGTTGCAGAGTGAAGGAGCTCAGGCAGAAGCAGTAGTTCTATCCAAATGACATTTACTATGGTTAACCAAACTTTTGTTAACATCTGCATTATCTTTAAAGCAATTGCTTCTCACTCTTTTTCCTTAAATTGAGAGCTTTCTTTATTTAATTTTAAAGACTATTCTGTGTTCATATAGACCAGGGGTGTCAAACTCAAGGCCGCAGGCTGGATCCGACCTAAAGGGTGCTAAAATCTGGCCAGTGGGGACCAGCTTAGAAATATCAAAGAACCAGCCTGCAGTGCCTCTGACAGCCAAAACAGCCCATGTGCACTCCCCTCTCCCCATTTTCAGGCTTCCCAACCTTCTGCAGCACTTTGCCAGCCAAAAATGGCCCATGTGGAAGTATTGGGTTTTGTCTGGTAAAGTGCTGCAGGAAGTGGCTGTCCCATCTCCCCCCCCCCCCCCTCACGCCGACCCACAGAGAACTACAATGCTGATACGGGCCTCNTTGGTATATTTTATGATGAAGGATGTTTAAACAACTATAGTCAAATGAAAAATGGAGGCAGGATGACGGTAACATGTATAAATATCTGAGTTAAAATACTTGAGTTAATATGAATTATGCTTGATGACAGTGGAAGAGATGCACGAAAGTCTTTTGTAACCAACTGATACACTTTCTACAGTATGTAAAAAAGGAAGATTTTATGTGTCGTGTTTGTTTTGAAAATAAAAAATAAAAAAAAACTTTAATAAAAAAAAATTCAGATGCTTGGCAACCGACTCTAATTATGTCGGTCGCAGTGTCCCGGAGGTCACGTGATCCCCTTTTGCGACCTTCCAACAAGCAAAGTCAATGGAGAGGCCAGATTCACTTAACAACCGTGTTACTAACCTAACGATGGCAGTGATTCACTTAACAGCTGCAGCCAGAAAGGTCGTAAGATCGGGCAAAATTCGTTTAAACCGATGTTTCACGTTGCAACAGAAATTTGGGGCTTCCAATTGTGGGATTATAATTTAAGGATTTACCTGTTAATCTATATATTTCTCCTTTTTCCCCCCTTCTCTTTCTAGGTTGTCATTCTATTCTGGACATTCTTCCTTTGCGATGTACTGCATGTTGTTTTTAGCGGTGAGTGAATGGATCGAGGGATTGAAATGGTTTTCTGGAATAAGAGGGGGGGATGGGTGCCATTTTTGGGACCTAAAGTCACAGGTGTGTTTTCATTTCAAAGGATCAGGAAAGAAGCAATTGTGAGCACTGTTTCTCAACCTTAGCTACTTGAAGATAGGTGGACTTCAACTCCCAGAATTCCCTAGCTAGTTCTGCTGACTGGGGAACTCTGGGATTTGAAGTCCAGACATCCCGCTGGCTGGCTGGGGAATTCTGGGAGTTGAAGTCCACCCATTTTGCTGGCAGGCTGGGGAATTCTGGGAATTGAGGTCCACTCATCTGGCTGGGGAATTCTGGGAGTTGAGTCCACCCATCTTCAAGTGGCCAAGCTTCAGAGCTACTTGAAAATAGGTGGACTTCAACTCCCAGAATTCCCTAGCCAGTTCTGCTGACTGGGGAATTCTGGGATTTGAAGTCCAGCTATCTTGCTGGCAGGCTTGGGAATCCTGGGAGTTGAGGTCCACCCATCTTGCTGGCAGGCTGGGGAATTCTGGGAGTTGAGATCCAGCCATCTTGCTGGCAGGCTGGCGAATTCTGGGAGTTGAGGTCCACCCATCTGGCTGGGGAATTCTGGGAGTTGAGGTCCACCCATCTGGCTGAGGAATTCTGGGAGTTGAAGTCCACCCATCTTCAAGTGGCCAAGCTTCAGAGCTACTTGGGAATAGGTGGACTTCAACTCCCAGAATTCCCTAGCCAGTTCTGCTGGCAGGGGAATTTGGGGATTTGCAATCCAGCCATCTTTCTTGCTGGCTAGGGAATTCTGGGAGTTGAAGTCCACCCATCTTCAAGTGGCCGAGCTTCCGAAACATTGGAATCTGGAGAACTCTTTAACAAAGTTAGGCAGGATGCGGCCAACATCCCCCCCCCCTCCCAATTCAGAAAAAAAGAGATCTGGTTGACTTCCAAAGCTCCTGGTTCTTTTAAAAAAATAAATAAAGTAAAAAAAAAAAATAGTGAGGTAGCAGATGTTCTGCTTCTCTTCCCACCTCGGTTCTGAATTGCAAATACCCCTTTAGACCTCTGATCAGAGTTTCTACTCGTTTAAAAAGGAAATGAGAGAGCCACAAGGCTGGCACAGAACCCCCTAAGCAGCTTCCCTGGTCGCAGTGGGCGGGGGGGGGGCAGGTTTCTGTGAGGATCTTTCAAATTGGGGGAGGTGGGAGAGAAATGTTGCATGGTTATTTATTGGCACACTCCATTTATTTATTTATCTATCTATCTATCATCTATCTATCTATCTATCTATCTATCTATCTATCTATCTATCTATCTATCTATCTAATTATTTGCATTCTTTCTTCATTTGCTAACTTAATTTATTTGCATCATTTATTCCTTTGCATGCAGCCTTTGGTTATTTGCTGGCTTTATCAGACTTTCGTGCTTTATTCACTAATTTATTTGCACGCTTTATTTACCTGCTTCCTTTGTTTGTTTGTTTGCACACTTCCTTTATCTACTTATTTCTGTCCTATATATATTTCTCCTTCCTTCCTTTATTTATTTTTTTGAGGCCCCCCTCTCTTTATTTTCACGCCCTATTTATTTAATTGGAAAGTTTATATATTTGCGTCCTTTATTGATTTATTTATTCGCATGCCTCCCTTGTTTATTTATCGTTTGTGTGCTTTGTTTATCTGCTTGCTTGCTTCCTCCTCCTCCTTCCTCTCTCCCTCCCTCCCTCCTTCCTTCCACTCTCACTTCTCGCCTTCCTTCCTCCCTCCCTGCGTCTTTCCTCCTTCTCTCCTTCCTGCTTCTTTCTTCCTTCTCTCCTTCCGTCCACCCACTCTCCCATTTCCTTCCTCCTTCCCTTCCTCCTTCCGTCCACCCTCCCTCCCACCTCTTTCTTTCCTTCCTCTCTCCCTCCCTCCTTCCTTCCACCCTCACTTCTCGCCTTCCTTCCTCCCTCCCTGCTTCTTTCCTCCTTCTCTCCTTCCGTCCACCCACTCCCCCATTTCCTTCTGTCCACCTTCCCTCCCTCCCTCCCTCCCTCTTCCTTTCCTCCTTCCATCCACCTTCCCTCCCACTTCTTTCTTTCCTTCCTTCCTTCTTGCCTGCCTGCCTGCCTACCTCACTCCCACCTTCTTTCCTCCTTCCCTCCCTCCCTCCCTTCCATTTCCTCCCTCCCTTCTTCTTTCCCATGGCCACATTAGGCAAGCCAAGTTTTAGTGCTCATTTAGGATTGGAAGCATGGGTGGAATTCAATTTGGGCATCAGGTGGAGCATTGGGGTACAAAGGAAGACCTTCTCTTCCAAAGCCATAGTCCTCTGGGGGCCGTCTCTAAAGCCCCCCCCCCCCTTTCTTGTTGTTTCTAGCTCTACATTCAGGCCCGGCTGGTTGGCAGATGGGCTCGGCTGCTGCGCCCGACTCTCCAGTTCTTTCTCCTCTGCTTCGCCATCTACGTGGGCTACAGCCGAGTGTCGGACTACAAGCACCATTGGAGTGATGTGCTGGTTGGCCTTTTGCAGGGAGGACTCATCGCTATTCTTACGGTAAGCAATGGGCTGATGGACCCAGAGTGATCCAGGTGGCTTTCATGCCCAAGGCAGAACTAGAACTCACCATCTCCTGATGAGGGACCCAAAGTCACCCAGTTGGCTTTCATGCCTAAGGCAGAACTAGAACTCACTATCGCCTGGTGATGGACCCAAAGTCACCCAGTTGGCTTTCATGCCTAAGGCAGAACTAGAACTCACCGTCTCCTGGTGATTGACCCAAAGTCACCCAGTTGGCTTTCATGTCTAAGGCGGAACTAGAACTCACTGTCGCCTGGTGATTGACCCAAAGTCACCCAGTTGGCTTTCATGCCCAAGGCAGAACTAGAACTCACTGTCACCTGGTGATTGACCCAAAGTCACCCAGTTGGCTTTCATGCCTAAGGCAGAACTAGAACTCACTGTCTCCTGGTGATTGACCCAAAGTCACCCAGTTGGCTTTCATGCCCAAGGCAGAACTAGAACTCACTGTCTCCTGGTGATTGACCCCAAGTCATCCAGTTGGCTTTCATGCCTAAGGCAGAACTAGAACTCACTGTCTCCTGGTGATTGACCCAAAGTTATCCAGCCGGCTTTCATGTCTAAGGCAGGACTAGAATTCACAATTCTCCCAGTTTCTAGCCTCGGTGCCTTAACCACTAAATCAAACTGTCCATCTTTGGCATCTTCTCATCTGAGCCCCCTTTTCCCCCAGGTCCGCTACATCTCCGACTTCTTCAAGGAGAGGCCCCAGTCACCGTGTGCCGAACAGGACCTCGGGCGTAAACCCAGCATCCCCCTGCCGCTAAGCGAGTCGGAGTGTAACCACTGCAACTATCGTGTCCCTGTGTGAACGGGGCGATTTTGAATTGTTTTCATTTCAGCAGCGAACACGTAATCCACATCCCTCCTCCTCCGATGCATTTCTACTTTTGAACTTGTCCAACGAAGAAGGGAAAACTGGGAGATTTCCCCCCCCCCTCTTTCGTTCTTCTTTTTCGTTCGTTTTTTTAAACCCTTTTGTTTATTTTTTTTATCACACCCGATGCTACTGCACAGCACAAACACAACACAAGTTTGACACTTGGAAAAAGCCTGCCTCACCGCCACATAAGCCGGGGCAGAATCTGAAAATGTTCAAATCTTTTTGTTCTCTTGTTGGAAGACTTCTGGACAAATTCTTTTCCGCGTAGGGGGTAAAAATCACACACCGGTGTTGTGTATATTCCACTCGATGGCCGGCATTTTATCTGGACTTCGCTCTTGGCTTTGCAAAAGTTTGCAACTGCTTGCTTTGAAAAAGTTAGTGGGTGTCTCATAATCCCTCTCCCCAAAACTTTGGAAGGATTCCCGAGGAAAGGCACCGAAATTGGTGTTTTTTTTAAACACCTTTGAGTGTTTTTCTGACATTTTCCTTTAATTTAGTACTTTTTATAGGGGCCCAATGGGGGATCGAAAAGGGATTTGTGTTTGAATGCAGACAAACTGTCTGAAATGACTTGGGGTTTGAAATATTTGATCTGGGGTGTCCAATCTTGGCAACATTGAAAACCCGTGGACTTCAACTCCCAGAATTCCCCAGCCAGCCATGGAATTCCCCCCCCTCCCAGCCAGGAATTCTGGGAGTTGAAGTCCACGGGTCTTCAAAGTTGCCAAGTTGAATATCCTAGATTTTCTCCATAAAAAGCAAATTGTCACCCAGATAATATCTTAAAATTTAGTCTGGGTTGAGCGACCATAAGAAGTACCAATACTGGATATCACTGACGTTTATTAAACTGCTAAAATGAGGCGAGGGAGTCCTATCTCTCCAATATCAAATTTTTGTACAGGTGGGTTTGTATTTCCCGATGGATAAAATCGAGCAAGATTGAATAAAATTGAAACGGACTTTTTAAGTCACTGCCGACATCTCTTTTTTTTTTATTGCTCATTCTACTAATGACCATATTTTTTCCCCAAAAAACTTTGAAGTCCGAAATTTTGAGCCGTGGGGATGGGAAAAACTCCAAATTACGGGCTCTCGGTTGCTACGAGAGAAAGAAAATTATTGAAACGATTGGAACGACAGACCTTTCTCATGGGAATTGGAGTGGGGGGGTTGACAGAGCCGAGGTGGCGCAGTGGTTAGAATGCAGTACTGCAGGCCACTTCAGCTGACTGTTATCTGCAGTTCGGCTGTTCAAATCTCACCGGCTCAAGGTTGACTCAGCCTTCCATCCTTCCGAGTTGGGTGAAATGAGGACCCAGATTATGGGGGTAATATGCTGACTCTGTAAAC